GTGTAGTGCCTAAGGCATTTGACTGCTAACCAGAAGGCTGGCAATTCAAACCCATGAGCCACTCCTCAGAAGGAAGATTGGGCAATCTACTTCCGTAGAGATACTGCCTCGGAAACCAAAAAAGGGGTCGCTATGAGTCAAATCGACTCAATGGCAGTGAGTTTGGGGTTTTTTTTTTCGGTCATCTCTACAGCAGCAGAATGCCTCATCTTTCTCCCATGGAGTGGCTAGTGGGGTTTAAACGGCCTAACTTTCCGTTAGCAGCTGAGCACCTAACCACGGCCCCACAGGGTTCTCTGGCACAGCGAAGAGCCTCAACAATGCTCACCAACTGACTGTTGTTGTTGTTCTGTGCCGTCCAATCGGACCCGACTCACAGCGACCCCTCCTGGGGTTTCCGAGGCAGTATCACTACGGAAGTAGATTGCCCCATCTTCCTTCTGAGGAGTGGCTGGTGGGTTTGAACGGCCAGCCCTCTGGTTAGCAGTCAAGTGCCTTAGGCACCATGCTACCAGAGCTCCTACCAACTGACCAATTGAATCTAAACCACCAGGTTGCTGGATATTCCAGGAGAGCAGAAGGCCTAATGTAAACCATTCCTTAGGAATGAAAACCTTGTAACTCATTCTCTAACCCAAAGGACAGTTTCTCAACAGCAGAGACAGCATCCCCACCCTCCCAGACCCAGCACAACACTGGCACCGCAGTTTCTCAACCAACGTGTTACTGACAGCCACAGACGAAACACCACGACATGTCACAGTCAGTAGGTCACTGTGACTCATCATAAACGACAGAAAATTTAGGAACGGCCGATCTAAAGACGTGAGTCATATTGTCCATTTTCTTAAGAAACATGCAAGATGCAAGCAAACAAACACAAACCTGCTAACCCGCGAACAACTGAGAGCTGAGTGACCATGGCCTTGGCACAAAGCCCTCAGCACAATGTCCGACGTGAAAGCCCCACGCTCACGTGTCTTCCTCACAGGCCCGTTCTTACCATCTCCCCTTACAGATCTGACAACATTCAAGCAAATCAAGATTACTTTCCACAGAGCCCCCACCACGCAAGAGTGAAGCGTGACGTCCTCAGGTTTTGTGGATTACAGACACGCTCACAGCATAAAGTAATGACAGTTCCTTCCCGTGTTTCCACTCCCACCTATATCCCGATGTTAAGAGCTCAAATGCTTGAGAAACTGATACATTCATTTCTGAAATGGCAACAACAAAAAAAATTAATCTGGTCACCAATGGACATCCTTTATCCTGAATCCTTCACTCCGTTTCCTCTTAGGAGCAACAAGGAAATAAAACTTGGCAGTGATCCAGCCAGCAATCCATACATTGTATCAGATAACTAAAAATGCAGAATTATGTAATCTTATTTAATGGTTACTCAGCTCGGACTGAAAACTATCCAAGGCAATACTGGAGAAGTGGACTGAATTATAATGCATAAGACATTTCTGAAGATGGGTTTTAGTTAGACTCAGCACATCCTCTACCAGCAAACCTGTGACTCTCCCTTCACCCCCAACTCACCTGCTTGGTCAGTGACAGTAGGTCAACTCACCCGAGAGGCACTGAGGCAGGACTGGGGAGGGGGGCGCTGGGGACGGAGAACACCAAAGCCGATTTTCTTTGCTTCACGTTTAACATC